TGGGGCGCCGGTGCGGGGGAGGCGGCCGCGGGCGGGGAGCGGCCGCGGTGACCCGCCCCTTCTCCCCGCAGGCGTCCGGCAATAAGGTGAGCCGACAGTCCGTGCTGTGCGGCAGCCAGAACATCGTTCTCAACGGCAAGGTAGGCGGCGGAGCGGGGGCTGCGGCGTGCCCCCGCCCCGGTACCTCGTTCCGCCCAGCAGCTCGGGTGGGTGAGCGGGAGGGGAGCGCGGCCAAGCCGCGGGGTCCCTGTCACCACCGCGGCAGCACCCGCGCTGCTCTGCTCTCCGCTGGCCACCGCTGTCGGCCCCGTGGTACCAGAGCTCTGCTCTCCGAGAACGCAAACAGAGCTTCCTCTGCGTGTGAGCCGATCGCGGTGCTTTTATCCACGCCACAACGTATTTCTGTTTGTGCTTAAGCCTCGTGTTGCGTATGGGCTGACTTTGTGCAGCTCACTGGCACGGCGGGGGCACAACTGGCACTTCCAGGCTCCTGTGCGTTTGCTTTGTTCTCACTTTTCTTTTGACTAAGAGAATCCTCTGTAAGGTAACGTAATCTTGCTGGAGTGGCCTGACCTCTGCGCGAGTCTGTATAGTAACTGGTAACACAGGTAGAAACTGGAGCTCATTTATCTCTCTTTTCTTCTCCAGACAATAGTCATGAATGACTGCATCATCCGTGGTGACCTGGCAAACGTACGGGTTGGACGACACTGCGTGGTGAAAAGCCGCAGTGTGATTAGACCGCCCTTCAAGAAGTTTAGTAAAGGGTAAGAGGTCCCCTCCCTTTACGGAACATGAAGATAAAATCTGTATGTTTAAGAAAATATATCAGCTTGGCTGAGATCTGTATTCGGAGGGCTGTGTTCCTTTTGCAGCACTTGGCAGGTTTAGAGGGACATATTTCTGCAATTTCGTCAAATTTTCAGCTTTGCTTTGAGGGTTAGCGTTCCCTTCAGACCACAATATGGAAAGGCTGGGATATGTTAAAATAGCTAAGTGAAGAACGTGTTTCACTTGTTCTTTGTTTATTCGCACCGTCTTGCTGTTGTGCATTTGGGTCATCCTTTAGAAAGAGATGAGAAAAGACCAGCTGCTGTTCAATCTTCCTTAGCATCAGATGTACCTCTGGTAATCCAGCTGGGAACGGGAGACTCCACAGTGTGATTTTGGGTCTAACGGTGTCGTGGGTCAGTCTGTCTGTTGTACATCTGAACAAATAACTCTCCTGTCACAGGGTGGCTTTTTTCCCTCTCCACATTGGTGATCATGTCTTTATAGAAGAGGACTGTGTTGTCAACGCAGCCCAGATTGGCTCCTATGTCCACATAGGCAAGAACTGTGTCATCGTGAGTGCTGTTTCTCTGTCTTTCCTTTAAACTCTTGAGTACTGGTGAGGTGTTGTGACAACAGTGGAAAGGTATCCGCACCAGCTGGCCGGAGTAAGCATACTTACTCTGTGCTGTTCCTTTCTCCTCCTTTTCCTTCTCCACAGAAAGTAGTGCTTTCAGTTTTGCTATTCGGTGATAGCGGGTTCAGCTGACCGCTGTTGGGAGAATCTGTCCCAACAATATTGTGCTTAATGGGACTGTCCAGGAAAGACAGCCTTTCCACAAAGTACAAGTGGAACTGAGTTTCTATGCAAATAATGCAAAATATAGTCAAGGTTGCTGTCTGCTGAGTTAGAGAAGGCCTTGCTACCTTACTGCATGACTCCGGTTCTAGGTTCCAGTTTGCGCATTGACATGTGTTCATATGCAGCTGCCTGTGTTAGTCAAGAGCAAACGGACTTTTTTCCCTCAGAAAAGGAAAAAGTGAATTCTGTTGGGAAGAGCATTCAGTCAGGGTAAAGATTTATTCCCATGATGCCTTATACAGAATGTGTTTTGAGCAGTTAAATTTGTTGAAGTTTAGGTAACTTATCTGGACTAAGCAAAAGCATATAGTATTTTAAGTATAAACTTTACCTAATCTGTTTCAGGGTCGTAGATGCGTTTTGAAAGACTGCTGCAAAATATTAGACAACACAGTACTACCTCCAGAAACAGTAGTCCCACCTTTCACAGTCTTCTCAGGCTGCCCAGGTATGCTCCCTCTAACTTTACTTGCACAGAAGTGTGGATAACGTGGATATTCTTATTTTAAAATGAGATTGCTATCGCAAAGTTGCCTATTAGCGTTTAGTGCCTAGAAATAAAGGTGTAGGGCACTTGGTGAACTGAAAAATGACAATTTTAACTTGTGAAACTTGCTGCTTTAGTGTATGCTAGGTAGCTGTGGCCATCCTGTACAGTAAGCAACACAGCTTTTCAGGCATCTACAACCCAGCAGGCATTAGGCTCTGGCAGAGGGAGCACTCGTCCTTCTGTGGTTTCTGGTTTTGCAGTTATTTCAGTGGTTCAAACTGTAGGAAGTCCAAGTGCTCATTATTCATATGTTAATAGGGGGGTAGGCACATTAAACTGAGGTATATGAATGTTTAGTTCCTGCCCATCGACCTGGCTGTGCCGGAGATCCCGTTGTACAAACTGCACGCTCCGTCGTTTCTCTTCTGATAGTGTTTTAGGGGGAGCAGTGGAAGCTGTTACAGGACCCAGCTGCAGCAGTCTGTCTGACGTCTGCCCCAGGGGGTACGATGGGAACGATCCTACTGTACTGCTGGACATGAGAGAAGAGCCCTTTGCTGCTCTATTAGTATTTACTTACAATTCAGTCAAAGTCACGGCTTTGAATGTTGAATATAAGCTTATTTCTGCTTTCTCCTGCAAGAACACTGATGGTCATACTCTTGTTCTTCTTCCAGGACTCTTCTCTGGGGAACTCCCGGAATGTACCCAGGAACTCATGATTGACGTTACAAAGAGCTATTACCAGAAGTTCTTGCCACTCACTCAGGTCTAGTAGCCCGTTTACCACGTTTCAGAGCAGTAAAGGCACGCAGGAGCGTTCTGGGGGCGGGGAGAGGGATGTTGTTCAGTGAGACCAGGGCACAGCCCTCCGCTGTTCCTGAGCACTTCTGAGTGTTCCTCAACACTAATGGTCTGGCCAAGCAGTCCCTTGTGAAAGCTGCTGTGTCATGTTGTTTAAACTTTGTATGCTCATTTGAATGTAATTCATTCCATCTTGTCTGAATTGTGCCATTAAATGTTCTGGAGCTAGGAAAGCTGATAGAATTCCCCTTAGGGCAGCACCTCCTCATTGCAGCTGGGGAACAAGGCAGAGTTGACAGCACATACTCTGCAGCCTAAGCCTGTCTTTCATGCCAGTTCTGTTCCTAACCCGAAGCAAGTGGGTTTACATTTGCTAGAAGCAATCTCCATCCTAGAACAGAAGTGCTGTATGGCTGATGTGCGTATTATGGGCAGTTACTTACCAGGGTTCATTAGATCTGGTGCTTTCCTTTGGAAAAATATTTGCTGCTCTATAGGTCTGCGTGTTGAGGTGGATGACCTCTTCCTTTCTTCCTGTGGACTGAGATTCCTTCCTGTAGGGACAGAGATATCGTTCATCATCCTGGGATTGGCTTTAGGACTTTTGGCTGACATTGAAACCTGTCTTTCTATGCCTTGCCTGACAGGACACTTCTTAGCTTTTAGCTCTCGAAGTAGACATTGGTCCTGTGCTCTCACCCATCACGCAGGCTTAGTGTTCTTGTGGCCGGTGCATGTTCTACTTCCTGAACGTCGCAGACCTTAAAGAGCCAAAGGGCTTTGGAAAGAGGATTGCCATGTTACTCACAGAACAGCAGCAGAAAGTGGGTGATTAAAAGCAGAAACTGGAGGTGGGTGAGAGAATGCTGCAATTGTCCCCATCTATTACCCAGTATATATATTTGCAGAAAGCTCTTTGGTGCTTTTCTGCATTATAAAACTTAAGAAGGAGATTCAGACTTCTTGGAAAGAGTGAACATTTCATTTTGGACATGTAATAGAGCAGGAATAATTCTTGCTGGGAGCAGCTCTGTGAAAGTTGGAGACAGCTGACACTTGAGTGTACCTGACTCAGTACCAGACAACTGGCTAAAAATGAGTCTGCCTGCTCTGGTTGTGTTATATTAAAGCTTAGCGCCGTCCTCTAGCTTTTAAAACGGGCGCTTCTGCATGTTGTAGGGTAGCAGCTGGGGCCGAGGACACATATTAGTTACGTAATAGGTGTATGGCTGTGAGATCAGCAGCCCTGGAGCCTTCAGCTGTTCTGTATAATGCAAAGTACTGATACACCTTAAATAGCAAACAGCCGTACAAGTACTAAAGTGTGTAGTAACTACTGTTAACCAAATGTAAAACCACTGACTGGTTTGTTTGTATTTTTACTGTACATAAATTAAAGCCTCTTCAGTTGTTCAAGTGACTCAAGGTTGTGACTCGTCAAATCGAACTTGAGAGTAGAGTGAGGTTTCTGCTGTGCCTGGGCCCATGAGCTGCAGTCCCTTGTTCTGTGACTATTACAGGCTACTACTGACTATTACAGTGTCAGTGTGTTAAAAAAGTGAAGTACAGTGTGAAACAGCTACTTCTTTCTGCCTCTGAGCTGATGACTCACCCACGAGTGATTCCAGCATTGTTGTTTTATAACGGCTCTGATGCAGAGTGTCTTTGCTTCTATTCTTCATGCTGAAGCAAGAATCCTAAAGCCACCAGGGTGACTGTAAAATCCTCTCCTTGGCACTGAGATGTTAGGCACACCTATTTGGTACCGCAGCAGCTCTGGTAGCATTGCTTCAAGCACTTGAAAATGGCCTGCTTTTTGGGTCTAGCCATCCCAGATGGCACGAGTCCTTTCGCACCCAGGTAAAAAAGCAGGAGCTGGAGCCAGCTTCTCATGGCAGGGAGCGCAGCTGGGACAAGAAGATGAGATTCTGTGTTGAAGCTGCAACAACTGGGCTGGTACTGCTCTCCGATGCAGTGGGTCAGTTAGGTCATGTCCGTCTGGTTTCAACAGACAGTGGAGTGTTTTACTAGAAGCCCAGATTCAGAAGGACCGTTCTACCACCTCACGGTTGTGCCACCTCGTCCCATACTAGCTAGAAATACCTGTTCAATGGCAGCTGTGTTCCTTGAGTCCTTCTGAGGTGGGAGTGGAGACAAGCGCAGAAGGAAGCTGTGTTCTTCCTGCAATCTCGTGTGGGTTCAGGGGGATGTCCACGTGAAAGGCCCAGGCTCACTGCTTTTTCTACCTACGCGAAAAAGCATTAGTGTTCCTTGTGTTTGTATTACAGGCAGCTTCCTAATTGACTTCAGTTTCCAAAAATGTTTAGTTCCCACTGTCCAGGATCTGTCTAGCCCCTGCAGAAGCCATTTACAGTGAGGGGCTATAGGAGGCCTCCCCCGTCGCAAGACCTGGCAGGTTTGGGGATTCTTGCAAGATTTCCTGCAAGTCCGATGTTTAGGGCTTTATGCTGCCACTCGCGAGCCCTGTTAACTTGCCATCAGCTGTCTCTTGAAACGTGGGAAGCCGCGCTGTCTTTGGTCAGGAGGGGGCTGTGTGTGCTGTGTTGCCATGGTGTCACTTCAAAGTTTTAACACCACATAGTACGTTTCACCGGGATCGCTTGATTAATGGCCGCAGTTGGGCAGTGTGAAGCTAGGCTGCTGGCGTGGGAGAGGGGCGGGAAGAGGTGGCTGCCAAATTAAGGGATGCGAGTTTGAGAGTGGGAGTGGGATGGCAGCTGGAAGAGCATTGCATTTCCACGATCACTTGAGCAGCACAGGTGTAGTGCACTGCCCGATACGGCACTGCAGTTACTTAGGCGTTTCTTGGCCTATTCTTCCTTCTAGCAGGCTGAGCCAGCCCTTCTGCCTTCATTAAAACCTCTTTTATTGTCTCTGTTAAGGTGGCCTCTGCCAGGGTCTAAAACCAACTCGCCACTGAAGATCTCAAACACTCAGCACTGTTAACATTCCTTAGATTTGGCCACTTTCTGAAGCATCCCTCTGACCTGGGCTCACCTCTACGCCTCTGCCAGCTCTGGGAAGACGAAGTGTCAGTGGGTTGCGGTGTGCTGCTGCAGCCCCGGGGGAATTACAGCTTTCTGATGGCAACGTTCAGTCTAGCGCAGCACATTAAAACGTGACTTCCAAGGGAGGGCTTTGCTGCATGGCCAGAGAGGAGCTGTAGGTGCATGGGGAAGCATGCCCCTCAGGGGGGGAAATTCCTTCTTTCAGGAATCTTGTACAAACAGTGATCCCTCCAAACGCTGAGTTGCTGTATTGCTTCATTGATCCCATATGCTTTACTCCAGTTTGCTCTGACCAAGCCTGCAGGCCACTCATATAGCAGGGCATTCAGGGTCCTCGGGAACAGACAGCGGGGGCTGCAGAACCCTTCTCTCCTTCGCTCTGTGTCCGCTGTCGTCTGTGAGAGGCGCTGGGCCTGATCCTGATGGCTCTTCACAATCACAGCTGCTCAGTGCAAGGAATGGCGAAGAGCCGCTGCCCGTGAGGGGCTGTGCGGGAAGGTAACGAACTCACCGATTGAGTGGAGGCCATGTCTGCTTTGTGTGGAGCAGAATTTCCCAGCATGATCCGACTCCACCGGAGGAATAACAGTTTAACTGCTGGCTGCAGTGGTCTCCAGGGCTCGCGGTTTGGTCCCGTGCGCTGGACTCTGCAGCCACCCTGGAGCGACCGATGGCTTGTGTCAATAGTTAAAGGCTAGCTGGGCATCATCTGCAGTACCCACAGGTCCAGCGCAGTGCAAAAGCACGGAATCTGCTGGCCAGGACCACCTATTCTTCGTCAGCCAGGGCTGAAAGAAGCAGGGAGGGGAAGCCATACGAGGTCAAGTCACTGTCCTCATCCCCATTTTGGGAGGGTGGGACTGCGCAAGCCTGGCGGGAGAAGGCAGGCTCGCGGGCTGAGGTGCCGTGGCTGGTTTTTGTGCTGTTCTTGGTTATTTTTCATGGACATTTTGTTCTGCGCCAGCAGGCGGCGAGATCGGGTGAAGGGATGAGAACGCGCAGCGTGGTTGCTGCTGTTGGCGAGCGGTGCCAGGCAGCGGGAGCGGCGCTGCGGGCCCCGGGGCTCCCTGGGCAGCGTGTCGGCGGGTGAGCGGGAAGAGGGGAGGGAAACGAGCGCTGGGGAGGTCGGGCATAGCTGGGCTCCACTGCCACAGTGTCACCCTAGGGCCCGACAGGCACCCGGAGCGGGTGCGATCAGCTGAAGGACCGGATTCTGGGGTAACGTGGGAATCCGTTCCGTGGGCAAGCGTCGCAGAAAGCTGCGGGGAAAGGCGCCGCCCGGTCGCCGTTTCTCTCCCAGGAAGAGCCGCGTCCGGTACCAGCTCCAGCACGGGCTTCCCTTCACGAAACACTTCGTGCCCCGGGCTTGTGCCGGGAGCCCCCCCCCGCTCCCCGCCGTGGGCGCAACCGGAGCGGCGGCGGGGCCACATCGAGCCCGGCTGGGCCGGGCCTTGCCGTGGGGAAACGGCGCCCGGGCACCCCACGCGTGTCCCGCCGCCGCCCCTGCCTCCGCAGAGGGAGCAGCGGGCCGCGGCGGGCGGCGG